GGACTTTTGTTCTTAGATTCAAACTGAACACACACTCAATATACATACTTTAGGTTTTATAGATGGGACGGCAAACTTATGAAGTTGATAAGTATTGGCAATCTTTGTAATATAATAACTTTCAAAATGATCAGAGCATATTCGATTAGTTTTTAATGGTTTCCAATAGGGTAATCCAATAATATTTAACCATTTTTTAAGTAGAAACTTGTTTTCAAGTGGAAATCTAAAAACAAAATAATATAGAATACATTTCAAGGTAATTTTAGTATATATTGCATTCAATTAAATTCAGTATACTAGAATTTTCTTATTCTTAAGTACCAAAATATGTGAAATATATTTAAATGAAAATATATAAATACTGGGTATTTATTCTTCACTCAAGACCAGTACCCTAACTATAAAACTAAGTGAATTATTTACTATTGTAAGTTTCAGTATCTAGATTCTAAATAGGCACAATTGATTGATAACTATTAATAAAATATTACTTTGATGCTGTATTATGTATCCCAAGTATTTTGTAATCTTACATATAACTTAAAAAWAAAAAAATAAATGAGTTATTATTATTTATTAACACATATACTGTAATATTTATTTTTTGTTTTGGGCACATTAGTAATTACACTATAAAAAGTTAAAACAGTTAATATTTACACCCTCAACTATCCTAGTTCAGCCACTGATTGTAAACATTTTTATGCTTAACTGCTTGTACTTTTATAATGTTTGTATTTTTTTTTTTAAATTATACAAAATAATTTATCTTTTATTAACTTACTTGAAAAATAATGTATTTTTGCCATTTTTTAAAGATGTTTTCTTACAGCCTTGAATTACACATATATAAACTGATGTTAATTTCTTAGGTAACCCTGTTTATAAATCATATTTTCAATAATTACAATAAAAAATTTAAATWAATAATTTAAATTAATGAGTAATAAAGTTTACTCACTTTTAACATCATTAACAAGTTTTTTTTGTTTCCTTGTAAACCTTGTATACTCATATGATTGTAAATAAAGAGTCGGTACAATATAATTGTTTTTTAATATAGTTTGCTTATAAAGCTTGCCATCTCTCCTTTCCATATTAGAAATAAAATCATCGGCCTTAAAATGTATTGAACATATCTTTGACATAGGATTAAACGTACCATTGTGTCCACATAATCTCCACCAAATTTCACACAGACTTCTATTATCTCTGGGAAAGTTGATGAAAAATAATTTATCGAACTGGTTTCTTGCATTTGCATTACACAAGACAACAGCACATTTACTGTCATACTGATAGGTCTGAGAAAAATAAAAACAATATCATTATTATATTTGCGAAAAATTGAAAGTTTTAACAAAACAACTATACAAACATTTCTATAACTCGTTACATTTGAAGACAACGACACAGCATCAAATTCATTTTCTGAAGGGGACGACGGCGAATCTTGGTCAAATGATCTCAGGGCTCGGTTTGTTTTCTAAATAAAACATAAATCATACGACTGCCATAATTAACACTTGGGGTTCACAACGCCGTACAAAAATTTGAATAAAAAAAACGGTCTTACTCTTTCGAATGAAACGCTTTTGAGCGGACGTTCATCACATGGATCATCACTGACGTCACTCAATTTCATGTCTGTGGTGTTAGGTGTATCGAAGTCGATGTCCGAATAATTTACATCACTCGTTGAAGAAACGTCGCTTGAATCGGTATCCGTCATAGTGATTGTTTAATAATAATCCTTAATAATATYCGTTAGGCCTCAAGCACGCCGGTCCAGACACGTGGACAATGGACAGAAATCATTTATCGAATAGCGCACAACGATTCACTGTTGTCTGAGTCTCAAACCACTGAATCGGACGAGGGAATGAAAGACATCTTAGTGAGAAGTGACGAYGGTTGACATTGTTGACTACAAAATCGTCAAAAACCAATAATATCATTTGGCGAAAAAATTAATACATGGATGATTAATACCCAAACATTATTATTTATCATATTTACGTTTAAAATGTATAATATATAATATGATAAATATCAGACCGACGTTATGGTTGGTTGTGATAAAAAGTTATAAATAGAAAATACAAAACGTATAATACGACATGGCTCTGACAACAATGATTATACATGTTACATGTATTTATACGATGTACGACTATACCACAGATTATATAAAATTATATAAAATTATATAATCTGTGACTATACTCTATACTACCCTCCTAGTGGAACAAGTGTAAATAAATAAAAGACTAATTGACGTGTATTGTGTATAGTAGATTATTTATTAGTAAAGGTAAGTGCCAAATTTCAAAATTTGAGGTTATTTCATATTCAGCATAATTGCATAATTATTAATTACCGAATTTTTTTTTTTTATAAATGCCTTATAATACATTATAAAATGTCGTATGTACCAAAATATTGTCAAATACTAGGGAAAAACCATAGAGTAATTATGAATTATTACTCTATGGGAAAAACGCAGTATTTACACGCATGTAATAGCATGTCCCAGAGAATAAAGCAGTATATCCCATGATAAAATCATGGTATATCCAATGGAGATACTGCTTATTTTACTAATAAAATAGTATTTCTCAATGTAAATACTGCATATTTTCCTAGTAATTTTCTCCAAAACGGATTTGCTATGTGTAAACTTTATTTTTCATCAATGAATGGTCGTGACTAGACAGTCACACATGCCATGTACCAAACGTTTTGGTCAAAGGCATTTATTAAGCTAAATGATCATGTATTTACTGTTTTATGATATTTATAGATATAATATTTGTTTTTTTTTAATTTGAATATTTAAATTCACTAAAATAAACATACTAAATGCAATTTACATTATTTTATTTTATTTATTAGTATATTTTAATAGATAGAAGGATAGAACCCATTGTACACTAAACCTGGTAGGTAATAGTTCTAAATTGTAATTTATATAAATGTGTACTTTTTATAATAAMAAGTTTCTTTATGGAGATACCGCATTTATTAAAGTTWATTTATTTTTTAATACACAATAATACTAGATATAAATGCATAATATCCTTAAATATGAAAAAAAACCAAAATAATGATAGAAGTTCAAACAAATATTTCAAAAAATTAAGAATGCCTATGACTAATAATTAATTTTTTTTAATGTGGGTAAAAATAATGATTCTATGGTGAAAAACAAAGAAATCGAAAAGCTCATTTTCCCAACAATTCAATTATTGGAGATACTGCTATAATATAGTTTCACTAGGAGGACATACGTCAACGTCTAAACTTACTCTGGTCCGACTGGTCCAGGTAGCCTGGTTACTTGAGAGTGATTCTTAATATTATCTTATATTTATTACCTCTTAAAACCTTTTAATTGTATTTCAACTTTCAAAGTCATAATAATATGTGAATTTCTTAATATTTAATTGTAATGGTGACCAGTTTTTTTTGTGGCGGGAACTTTTTTGACCATATCCGTAGACGATAAAATATTTCAGTTGCACCACTATGGCACTATTCACTATTCAGCAACATAACTGCAGGTTGCAGGTATAATATTTTATTCACTATAGGCCCACACTTCCACAGAATAGGTGAAATAAGCTCAGGTGTTCCACAATCGTCAATTGTTATGTACATTGCACTCCAGTACTCCAGAACATAATATAGAAGGTATAACAAGATTTCATAATGGCATAATTACTACAATTATACTTCATAAAAATGTTTCTATTTTTCATGAGTCACGAATACAATATAGGCATATAGCTTAATATAATATAGAGTAATTGTGGTCAACAYGCCTCACCAAGCTAAATAAAATAAAATCCACAGTCTTCCCATGGCCATTCTTCTCATTACCAAGACGCCAGGAAGTAATTTTAAACAGACTACGGATAGGTCACACATAGGTGACTCATAAACACCTTATGAACAGATCTGAACCTGACCAATGCCAAACTTGCGGTGAAACTTCCACGGTTGAACATCTAATATATGCCACTGCTGTAAATTCACCGACATCAGAGCTAAGCTCAACCTAGAAGACAACCTGGAAGAAGCTCTAAGTCCACAACCAATCAACGTAGAAAAATTAATTAATTATTTAAAACAAACTAAAATATGCCAACTAATTTAATCTACATATATTTCAATCTTTTTTTTTCATACTATTATTATTGTTATGTATATATTATTAATTATTATTAATGCTTCATACTTGTKTAAAAAAATATTAATGTTTAAAGCCAATAACCTTTGTTGTTGAGGCTCAATTAAAATAAAAATAAAAATTATAGAGTAAGATGTATTTTTATTACTGGAAATTCTCTAAGTAGGAATCATAGTGTCCTCATAGTTGACTATAGGWGACCTTTTTATACTATATCATAAAATATAACTATAATGGTAAAATATAAAATAACATTTTATTACTGGAAATTTCCCATGTACACTTTTCATACTTTAATAATATTTATTATTTTTTGAGTGAACAAATTTTAATCAATTGACAGTCATTAAAGCGGTAAAGTTTTTTTCATTTAAAATTTTTATAATTCAATTTACTAAAAACATTTGAAATGGAAACCTTTAAATCCAATAAAACAGGTGTAAAAGTAGCTTTTGAAGGATATACATAACATATATAGGTACATTTTCTTATTTTAATTTTATTGATAAATTTATGTATAATATTTATTTATTCTAACGCTTGTAAAATTATTAATTTTTTTAATTTAAACTTTGTTTCACAATTAGTCTTAACAATTAAAAGACATTAAATACAAGATATAAATAAGCTATTTACAAATAAGAAAGAAAAGAAGATGTCTGATTAGATTAAAAAGCCTGTATGACTGAAAAAGGATAAAATTTACAAAACAATATATTTTTGTTGGGTTGAAAAGATATTTTTAGTATCGATAGGAATGTTGGAAAATGTTAAAAGAGAAAAAAGTTGATCCCGTTGGGTTGATAGGCTGGGGCATGATTAGGTGGCTAATATCACAAACMTTATGGTATATCCATCTGATGTTGATTAATAAATATGAAGACAAAATAGGTAATTATAATAAGTAATAACTATAATTATACTTAAATTATTGGTGAGTGGGTCGAGGAGTTGCTCACAACAACTGCTGTCATTAAAGACAGGATGACTATGTTGTTAGCCTAGTAAAGACTAATTTTGACATCATAGACRTAAATAAAGTCATTAAATTGAGTGAGGTCAATAGCTAAAATGTTTRACAGAGGAAAATAGTTGTGGGACTACACCTTCACACTTATTAAAAAGAAAATATATTAAAATTGCGAATGCCAACATTTTCGATAAAAAAAATACAATTCATATTTCATTTTAGGAGGGTTTGAGTAGCTAAACTGTAAGGTAAGCCCATCCAATCCTCCTCCTCTTTATTTAGTCTATGGTTGATAGTTTGATATACCTAAAACTGTATAAAGTAGTTTAGGTTATAATTTTAATAACTAAATGTTATTCTTGTCAATAATATCATGTAAATTATTATTTCAACCGTCCACCAATATCCAGAGTACTGTACTCAATATTATTAATTAAAGCCTTTAATTTAAAGGTCAATTTACCTATACACCTAAGAATTTTTTTCAATTTTAAGAAAGTTTTCTTTTCTGAACTAAACCCCTATGGCCCTATCATAAATAATCTATCATTTAGAATTAATAATCTATATAAAAAAAATGTTTGAATAATYTAGAATGCATARTAAGTAATAACAATAAATAATAACATTTAATAATAAATATAATCTTTGTAATTATATACATTCATATTTTGTAATTGATTCAGAAGTACATATAGTATTCACTTATGGTATTGATTATAAAAGTATGTTTCTTATATTATACTATGTACTTGAAAAATACCACACATATCAATGAAAACTAAAATCAAAATTATTTTTCAGTTACTGTGGTTAATATTTTAGTTTTTGTGTTGCGTATAAAACAAATTAAATAAGTATTATAATGTAATTGCATGTGCTGTTTCTGTCTTACAAACACATAACATGCCAAATTTTACATTTAGAATAATGTATTTAATTTTGTTATTTTTAATATTAGGGTTAATTGATCTAATATCATTTTAACAGCAAGACTTATAATAGTTTTATTCATATTTTAATTTTAAAGCAAGTAATGATGAGCATGTACTTACTTCAAAATTAAAATATCCAAAAATGCCTATGTGTGTCATAGATAATATTCTTGCCTAAATGATTTGTCATTCATGATAATTTTAAAAATAACAGACTAAATTAGATTAWTCTAATGATGACATATTTATATTATACATTAGTAATATAGAGACCACACATATGAGTTATAACTTCCTTTTAACTACATACATTAACTATAATTATACAATACAGGTACATTAATTTTTTTTGCCAATTAATGTATTTTATATACACACAATGATTAATATTCATTGATAATTACACAATAAGAGATCTATTAAAATACTAAACAGTAAACAATAAGTATAAAAATGATAACTTATTTAGAATAATAATAATAATAATTTAAAAAAAATTGTCATKTTGTTCAAAAATAGGATTGTGTAGATGCCAAAATACTACATTCATAATTTTAATTATGAGAATATATGGAAGTATCAATATAATTATATTTTCAAGTCAATACCAATCAATAAAATATGATATGGATTTAAACCATTTTTAAAAATGTCTTCATGTACTGGTTGTAGATTTTTTTAAACTGACGTTTTGTGTATGGTGGGGGAGTTTTATTTTTAATAAAATCTTCAGAATATGCCTTGTACATATATTCCGAACAAATACTGGTTTCAAAGTAATGTTTTTTTAATGGTCCAGTATATGAACTCAAAATCCTAGGAATGCTTTTCATGTATAGGAATACTTTTTCATATTCTTTAAACGGTACATTTTCTAAACTAACTTCTGGTTCACCCTCAGGCTGATATGAATTGTAGTCCTTGTCTAATGGTATTAAAGATTGTTTCATAAAATCTGTCATGACAACTGGCTCACTAATTACGGTCACTTGTTTTGGTTGATTGGCTTTCAAGGCAGTTTCTCTATCAGAATACCAACTGTAATTAATAGGTTTTAGGATGGCATTGAGCCGTTGTTCAGAAATACCTAATGTATTTATAAAAAAAGTTTTGCAGACTTGTATAAAGGCCTTATTCCAAATAAAATGATATAACGGACAGCTTTCAAAAGTGCCATCTTTTTTTTTAGACATACGTAATTGTACTAATTCAGTTATTTTACAATTTTGTTCAGTTACATTCAACATCTGAAATTCTTTATAAATTTGTCTTCTTTGAGGGCCAGGTAGAGAATAATAACATATTAATTGACAGTCCGGGTCACAATAAGGTAGAAGCATTTCACCATAACATTCTGTTAAGTCTTCATCATATATAATGGATTTTGGAGTTTCTACAAAGAAAATACAAACATTGAAATTGTATCAAATGGCAAGAAAAAAAACATTTATTATTGTCAGAAAAAATCCTAGAAAAATAATAAATATTAAAAATGTATTCATATGAATGCAATTTTTTTAGCATAATAAAAAATATATTACAAATTGCAATCAATTATTGTAGAATATTTAAGTATAATAAAAAAAGCTCTTTTTAAGCATGCCTTATTTTTATACTAAYATATTGAACAAAAAATTTCACTGTTATTCTGCTATAAATACTAAGCTTATTAATATTTTATAAAAGGTTATGATCTTGAAAAATATAATAAAATATGAAATATAAAATATTTCTTGATAATTATAAGTCAAGTTTACTTTGAAAAACTTTTATACTACAAAATGCTTATTGGTATATATTGTACCCATATTTTACCATATGTAATGGGACAAACCAGTTTGAAAGGGTCTATTAAAAAGAAAATATTAAGAACCTATACCATACAGGTTTAAAAGTAAACTGTTCTTACCATCTGCATGATTTTTTTCTAATAGTTGCAGAATTTTTGCTTTGGTTTTCTTTGAAATACTTTTATTTTCATATGATAACAAATGTTTAACATCATCGCCATCCAACATGTCTAAGTATATATAATTACAGYCATTTCCATTGTTCCTTGATTTTGGTATCATATTTTTTTCTATTAAAATAAAAATAATTTTTGTAGAATTTATTGGCTTAATTTTGATAAAATAATAAATATAAAAACATAAGAAAATATTTTACCATTTTAAAAGGTCAATCTATTTTTGTTTGAGAACATTAATATTAATACATTATATATGAGTTAATACAATCATTAAGAGTTAATCAGTAAAAATTGGTTGATAGTTAATTAATTACCTTCAAAAATGTTTTTTTCAATTGATTCCTTATGTGATTTCTTAACTACTTTTGAAATGCATTTATTTTTTGTTAAAGTAGTGTTATTTGAATCATTAACAGACATATTTTTCCTATTATTTTCATATGGTTTTGATCCTAATTTAGTCTGATTACATTCATCTGTGACAAAATAAATAATTAATAAATTATATTTCATAAAATAAATTAAATATAACCATTATTTACTTTGTTATTATTATTATTCAGAGGAAACAATCATAAGAGTCAATGTCAATTGTCTAGTATACACATCATGAACTTGTTCAAACATACAAATATTTGATACGAGTTATTTAGATATTTTGTTTAGTTAGTGGCAATATTGTTTAAAAGTTAAAAATATATATTCTAAATAAGTTAATTCCTTTTTTTTAAATTTATCAATTAAATATGGTAATTGGAATRAAGAAATCTGCATTTTAAAAGCTTTGAGAGAAAGTTGTAATTAAATAACAATAATACAAAACAAAATGAGTAGATGGGAATTTAAGTTATAATAAAAGATATTGATGTGATAGATCCTACATGAAAACTTCAAAGCAGTATGAATCTAAAAAAAAAATGTTAGTATGTATAGCCATCAAAACTCAAGTTTTTTTTAAACTAATTAAGCTGGAAAATTGGCTGATACTCAATTTAGTCAACTTATTAAAAAATCATAAATTTTAGCTAGATTTATATTTAAAACTGAAGATCACATTTAGTTGTTTAGGGTTTTGTAACACAATGGCTAAAAGTGCAATGAAGAGTTTCAGACCTTATTCACCAGAGATTTATTAAGTTGAACATCATAAAAACAGAAATGTGTACATAAAAACTAACTAACAAAGATAAAAATTATTTCAATATTTTAAGAGGGCTAAAAATTATAAGGTAAGCTTCATAAGAATACAACTTAAGTATTAAAAATGGATTAAAACATTTCTTAAAACAGACCACTAAAAATGTTTATAGTTGATAATTAAGTCAATAACAAGTTAGGTACCTTTAATACTAGTGTTAGTATTAATTGTTGGTGGTTTTTCAAATTTTTATAGTTTAAAATGTCCATATAAACATACTCCAGATCATTATTATTTGAATTTTTGTTTATAATCTTATTTTCTGAAATGTATTTTATATTAAAATAACAAAAGGTGATTATTATTTTACACAAAAAATGATTCTGATYGAAGTTAGTCTATCAAGCTATATTATTATTTTACTGTGTATATTTTATGATATTGTTATATAAAAGTTATTTATTTAACTATTAGACCATATTAATACAGTCTCTAGATTGAATTAATTTTGAAAATGTCAAAGAATATACCTTGTGTTCAATTTTAAAGCTAACAGAAAATATGTCGAATCAMTTGGAGTTTGATTTTGGGTTTTTTACTGCCTACAGGACATATAAATACATCAGTTTTTGATAAATTCTAATTATTAACTATTTTTATTGGCGCATTCGCATAGTAAAATTAAACTGCTTAAATAGAAACCACTATTTTTGAGACTGGATTTGAATTGTTTTATTTTTTTAGTAACTTTGATATTTATAGTTTTTTAATATCTTCAAAATTGAAATTTATAGGACAGCCAAAAGTTTTAAATAAGGTAATTTATTTTTCCAAGAAGATGGGGCTCCCACCCATAATGCAATAGTTATTCGAGAATACCTTAACCAAACTTTCGGCCATAAATGGATGGGGACATATGCTCCAGTACAATGGTCCTTTAGATCATATGATATAGAACTATTTTTTAAGGGAAAATTTAAAAACAGTTTAAAATTTTCAACTATACTAAAAGTTTCAATTTTGAAGATATCAAAAATCTGTAAATATCAGTTGCTCAGAAAAAATAAATCAATCCAAATCCAGTCTCAAAAATAGTGGTTCCTATATAAGAAATTTTGATTTTACTATGCATGCGCCGATAAAAATAGTTAAAAATTAGAATTAATCAAATACTAATGTATTTATATGTACTGTAGGCAGTTATAAAACACTGAATCAAACTCCAAGGGATGTGTTCAAAATATTTCCTGTTACCTTTAAAATTGAACACATGGTATATTTTTTGATTAGAGTATAGACAACCATGAGAAACTTTGAATAACGCTTTCAAGCTTTGTGAACCTTATATGAGAATCATTACATTATTTTGTCTATATATTTAAGATAAAATAAATGTGCATAATACTTCATTTAGCTGCTTTAAAATAGTTTCTGGTTGGTACTATAAAGAAGTAATTTTTCTATTTTCACAATATAACCAAACATAAGGCCGCATAAGCAACCTTCAAAATGTTAAGAAGAGATGTTTGCAATTGCAATCATAGATTAAAACAATTATTTAATAAATTGCATTTTTTACTGTGATAATTTATCAATTTATCACTAAATTAGGCAAAGTGAAACAACATGCATACATATTATATTAAAATATTAACTGACTAATTAGATATTATTTAGTATACACAACAAACATACAGTATACATATGAAAAAATTGTAGGTATCTAAAATGAAACAATGTTTTAATCTGCAGTTTTTAGTTCATACTATCTTTGACCTTAACTTGTGATTTTTATGCAAATTATAAATTTTACTTGCGGGCAACTTAAAGTAACAATGAGGGCTACGTGGTGCCTACAGTCCCTGCTTTATCTGTATGTTTTATTATATTGCCTTATCTATATAATGTATCATAAAAATTAGTTAAGAAAAACTTAATTTTATAAGTAATACCTTTTGCGATTTCTTCATCATTTGGTTTAATACATTGTTCTGTAGAACTATCTGTAATATTATGTTTTGACAGTTGGATTTTACCAACATCATCCAAAGTATCACTATCATCTTCATAATTTGATTTATTACATTTTTCTAGAAAATAATGCAATTGCATTTTTATTAACAAGAAATAATTTTTTATTTTTAAAAAGTCAATTCTTATAAAAATAAACATTCAACGTTTAAACAAGTGTTTTTTTTTTTGGAAATTGTAATATAATACAACCAATAATTATTAATACAATTTTATACTTTCGATTCACTTTGCATTTTAGCGCTCTTAAATATGATGGTTATCGTACAGTTATTCTTTTATTTTTCTAGTGAAATCTTTATTTTTAATGTTGCAAAATTGTTTTTTTCTTTTGTAAATTAAGTACATTAATAATTTCTCAGAGTTGTATATGATTATTAATATGAATCATTTTAAATTTTAATTACCTTCACATCTATTATTTTTTATTGAACTAGATAGGTCTGTTGATGTATTAAAGATTTGTTTGTGATTTTCAGATCCTTGACCATCAAAATTATTTTCCAATGAATTTAACAATAAACTTTCATTCTTATTTTCCCATGCTACATCTTTAACTATCAAAGTATTTTCTTCTAAATGATTAAATTCTAAATTATTAAAAATAATATCAATATTTCTGTTGTTAACTGTGGATGCATATTTTTTAACATGATTGTCTTCAGTGTTTATTACTAATGGATTCTACAAAGTATATAGAAAATCAATGAGTATTAAATGACCTTTAAACCTTTTGTTACCTTAAAATAGTATATATACTTGTGGCTTAATTAATGGAACAGCATCATCACTTAGACCATGACTAACATTAGTCATTACAAAATCATTATTTTCAAAATGATCAGAACAAATTCGATCTGTATCTTTGGGCTGCCAATTAGATAATCCAATACTATCTAACCATTTTTTGAGCATAGTTTTGTTTTCCAATGGAAATCTAAGAGTAATATAAAMATATAAAATTAACAACATAATAATTAATTAAATAGGACTTGGGAACAGACTCAAGTGTATTAAAAAATAAAAATATGTATTTTAGATAAAATTCATTCTCTAAATATGACTCAGCCAAAAAGAAGGCAGAAAAAAAAATATGAAGTAAATTATGTGTTGAGCAGATTTAAACAAACTCTGGGCCTTTGCAATCTCACCATGTTTTTTATATCATGCAAGTTACTTTTTTTGTGGGCTGACATGTAGACACATAACAGTAAAAAGCTTTTTTTTTATCAATTATTCCTAATATTGAAAAATTAATGATGAATGTACATTATAAAATGATATTACATAGGTTAAATTTATACTAATACTTAATGTGTAAAAATATTAAAGTTTGAATTAATAACTACCACTTAAATGAAAATATAGAACTATATTTTTTATATGATTTTATAAATGGAATTTTTTGTTGGATGTTTTTTATTTGACATTCAATGAATATTCATGGCTTTAAGTAAAATACATATATTTTTTTTATTTCAGGATCATTAAAAATAACTACTTTACCTAAAAAACAATGTTCTTTTTTCATCTTTCAAAAATGTCTTATCACAGCCTTGAATAACACAGGATTCAACTTCTGTTGAATTATATTGCATACCTGCTTATAATATTTTTTTTTTCAAAATATTAAAACAATACATGTGCATTAATATGATAATCTCCAATTTAATAGTACTTACTATAACTATCATTTAAGCTCCTTTTTCGTTTTCTTACAAACTTTGTATACTCATGTGGTTGTAAATAAAGAGTTGGTACAATATTATTATTATTCAAAATAGTTTGTTTAAAAAGTTTTCCTTCTCGTAGTATTGTAACAGATGTAAAATCATCWGAATCAAAATGAATTGAGCATATTTTGTATGAAGGATCAAATTTGTCTTTGCGCCCACAGATTTTCCACCAGATATCACAAAGTGCTTTATTATCCTTTGGAAAGTTAATAAAAAATAATCTATCAAACTGGTTTCTTGCATTTTGGTTACATAATACAACCGCACATTCTTGGTTAAAAAATTGGTTTGTCTAAAAATTGAAAATATTATTAGATATTTACTTAAAATAATAAAATAACTGAACCAACATTTACAAAACTTGTTACAGATGAAGATAGTGATACAGAGTCTAATTCTAACATTGTTTCTTCAATATCTATATTTTCTAGTTCAACTTCGGTGTCTGAAAGTGATGATAGAAAATCATCATCAAATCCAGTAGCTTCATTAGAATTCTAAAAAAAAATTCTATAATTAGTAATTTTAATAACTCAAAATTTGAAAATTTAAATAAAAATGTCTTACACTAAAATTACTACAAGATGATGTACTTGTTAAATCATCATCACTGGATTTCATATCACTAGTATTTGGTGTATCAAGTAAATCATCAGAATTAATATCGCTTGTAGACAAATATTCACTGTCTTCAGAATCTGTCAATATCTTTTCATGTGTAATATTTTATACACAAATACTTATAATTTTTCATAATTCATAACTTACTTACTATATTTTTATACTTTATTACATTTACTTACATTTCCATTAGTCATATTATTAATTATGGGACAAGCATTTGGTTTAAGCATATTGTTCTTATTGCCAGCTTCATAATCATCAGAACAAAAGTGCTTGTTACATATTCTACTTTTATCTATTGGTAACCAATTTGAACGATTTGTAGCCATTATCCAAATGGGCAGTAACATCTCATCATCAAATGGAAATCTACAATATAATACATAGTAATTATTCAGTTATTCTGATTAAATCATTCAACTATAAGCAAGAATATATACTCGTGTAATTGAACTCCATCATCAGAAGTCATCAAACATCCCAAAACACAACAACGATTTTCCATGGCAATAGTACCTACAAACTATCTTGTACTTATGAAAATAATTCATAATTGCACTACTTTATAATTTAAACAAGTTGCGTCAATATTATAAAGTAGAACTACGATAATTATTAATATCAACAGTTAGTACTTACCACTACACTACAAGTAATTATTAGTTAATAGTTACTTATTTGACAGTTAGTACTCCAGACTCGGTTCTACTATAAATAATAATCAACACTACTATTATGWGTATAACGTAAGTATAAACTAAATTGTCACTATGAAAAATAATAATAAAATATTAAAAATGTGTTATTTTCATCAATAAAATATAAATGAACGTTTAAAATTTTAATTTTTAATCAATTATCATACGAAGTCTAGTAATTCCCTATGAAGACAATTGTGTCATTGAAGTTGGATTTCGAAATGCCTTAGATCTAACACAACTTACTGTTGGCCAACGATTTAAGATATTTATATATCTTAATATCCTTATAAATACTTATAGACTTATTAGTGATTAGACTGGCTTTTTAGATTTAAGCTATCATCAGGTTGTAGTACCACAGAATATATGAAACTTCATATATTCCGTGGTAGTACCATTTAATCTATTCTGTGGTAATACCTCCAAAGAATAATATGGACACGGGGGTACGGGACACTCTGAAATCTTATCAATAATAAGCGACTTTTTTATATTGTTATATATAAATTCATTAATTATTATGTATGTTTTATTTGTGTAAAATGGTCACACTGATTTCCTCTAAAAAAATTGGCGAATTCCCAAGTTTCCCGATTTCCCTTCTCGCTTAATGTATATTATATAAGGTCTATCG